CGACTTGGTAAAGAATGTTGACCTCCAACTCCAACGCAAGAAGATGGTACGCCGATCTTGGTAAGCTGTGGATCGCTCTGCGAACTATCTCTGGCCTTTACGGTCTCGTCTTCAGCTCTAGCGAGAGCAAGAACTTTTTCTCTAGCAATATTCCCGACTATCTCCAGGCCAGATGCAGGGTCTTGTGATAGAATATTGCTATCGACATGTAGTTGGCCGTCAAGGAGTTGTGTGATGCCTACTACGGTAGGTCTTGCGGGATACGAGAGAGCAAATGACTTCTCAGATTCTGTTGGCCAATCTTCAATCGCCAGCCCGACTTCGTGCGCTTTACTTAGTGCGAGCCACTCGGCAGAAGAAGCAAGCCGTGACACAATCTGACTACTCTCGAGCAATAAGTTCCTGTCTTCAAGAGAACACTTGATGTCATCCTTGGTGAGGTACTTGTCGCTTGTCTCAAGTGTGGCAACCACGTCCTCGAGGCTAAAACCAGTCCAAGTAAAGTTTGATTGGCGCAAATTTCGGATCAGACTGTGACGAGCTTTCGCGCTATTTTTGTGAAAAAGATAGTCAACATCTGTACGCTCACTAGTGATCGCATTTGCTCGCAAGACCTGGACGAACAGATTTGCTATCATCTTGTCATACCAGCATGGCTTGAGGTAAACCACACGCTGTGTCAATGGAGGTAGATTGGTCTGCCTGTCCACGTCTTCTGGTCGGGTTTTGACGACTAAACCTTCCAGCGTCCGAAGAAAACAGGAGGAGAAACCCGAATATGTCTTTCGGTATTGGTGTTCATGTCGATAGATGTATTCATCCCAGTCGAGCTTTCCTTCTGTGCCGGAATCACACCAAGGCCGTACCATGAGGAAATTCGATGCAAGAGAGCCCAGTGCTTTGGCAGCTTTAGAATTCTCATCACTCATGTTGAACGATTTCCTTTGTTCAATAGCAGAGTTTCGGATTGACGTGATGTCAGCTTCATCATTCCCTGTAGTTGAGATGTCGACCTCGATGCCAACTAGGTCTTTTGCGGGTGCTGTAAAAGTTAGTCGCTGCGTTATAAACATTATTTGGGTCACTTACTTCCAGACACTACCCACCGCCTCTCGGCCTGTATATGCTTGGCCACCAGAACTGCGTTCGAATTAGAAGAAGAGAAGCTATGGCCTTCATCGATTATGATCCGAAGCCAATGTAGCTTTTTCAAGGGCGATTCGTACACCCTGTCGTTGTCGAGACAATTGCAATTCGGAATTCGAGTGGCTCCAATGTAGGCGCAGTTGCATGCGCGACTCACGCCCCCAGTGGCCCGTCGTCCTTGGTCGTCCGCACCGTCTGAGATTTCTCGCTCAAACCGATTGCGTGTGAAAAGAATCACATCGAAAGTCATCAAAACGGTAGGCGCTGGCAGCTCACTAACAAAAACCATAGTGCCATCATCTGAGTCCGCTTTTGCTTTATTGCCGCGCCTCGGTGGTGAATCAACCACGAGAATCTTCATGCCTCCAGTGAGTACATGTTTTCGTATTTCAGACTGCCACTGGTGCAGTAAGTTGCGAGGAACAACAACGATTGTGCTGGAGCAAAGCACAAGCTGGCGTGGAGGCGGAATCTTGGTATTCCTGTTCATTCTCGGAACCTCAGCCGGGATTTCATAGAAGGGAATGTTTTGGTGAAGAGTTTCTTTCATCTTTGCAAAATCATTGCCGCTATTTGCCTCCGATTGTTCCAGGAATGAACTGGCGGGGATTGAATTTCGTCCGAGGATGGAAGCTGCCATCTCCATTAATGTCCCGACACGACCTCGTACTTGGGGAGTGGGTCGGTAGAGTGGAGGTATTTGTGGAAGGTGTCCCTTTGTAGCTAGAATGACGGCTAGACATATGAGCGTCTTGCCCAAGCCCATGGTTTCGGCTAAGATACCACCGCGACTTGATTCGTAGTAGCGAGGCTCATGCAAGAAAGATCCCTCGCGGGCACCAAAGAAATATTCTTCTCCAGTTGGCATCTTCCGGACTTCAAGCCGTGGGTCCAACTGTAACCGCGGCGCAGCTTCTCGCTGGATCATCAAGCTCGCAGATTGCGCTTGGTAGGGGTACAGCCTAGTCCGCAGTCCAGGGAGTGGCTGTTCACCATGGTCTTCCCACTCAGACGGCGCTGACGAACCCGCGAGGTCCTGCACAGCTGCTCTCGAGTACCGATTTTTGATCATGTCGGGGTTTGGAGACGGCGAAGGCAGCTTATTGAACAGGTAATATAGAGATACAGGTTCCGCCGTGGCCCATGGATCAAAGTCACGAATCTCTGCATCATACTTGCCTGCCCATGTGTCGGGCGAGACATCCACCTGCTGCAATAACTGCCGCACGGATGCTTTCAAGCTTTTGCGACTACGATCAATGAAGCGGCGACCCCAGTCCTCTGGGAGGAGGTACAGTCTGACCAGGCTTTGAAAATCTGGATCGCTGGGCTTGGGTCGGTGCAGAAACAGCCGGATCCATCGAGCGTCAAGCAGACTTGTCGCGTGGTTACCAAGAATCAGCTTGATCTCGCTGGGAAGGCTCGCATGTAAAAGTTCCGTCCAATCAGCGTCAATGATAGATCCTTCGTAGAGCCGTATTGGCTGATCAAAGTGAAGACAGCCGATGGCAATGTAATGGTCGATATCATGGGCGCTGGCCTCCGTCTCCTTGGCTGAGGATGAACCAGAAGTCATCGGCGTGGAAGCGGTTGTTGTAGACAAGTCATCCGCTTGTGGATTCGAGACAGCGGATTCATTGTCGCTTTCGTTCGTTGTTGTTTGCATGATCAGTTCAGAAAGGGTGATAGGTGTTGGTGCGTGGTTGCCTTCGGACGCCGCTGAGCAGTTGTGTTTGGAACTCCAAACTACTCATATGCCACGGTTGTGTCTGAACAACATCCCATAAACACAAGAATTTGTCTCCGTGCAATGAGGAGAGGCGAGGGTGCGTACTTGGTGCGGGTCAGAGCAGGTCAGAGGCAACACTCCCCGTGTGCCAAGCTTTTATGTCTCGTTTCAGACTAGCGCCATCCAAAGGAGGATGCATTCATTTATGTGAGCTCACCCCAGTGCACTTCAAAAATAACTACCTAGGTAGTGCTCAACATTACAATTCCTTTTGATAGTTCTATCACTATAACGCCAGACTCCAGAAAATGCCACGCAGAAGCTATAACGCACCACAAGCTCGCTACTCCCATCTCAATATCTCAGCAACGTTTTGTACGCTGTTCCTTCAGACCTTAATTCCAAACACTTTCCATTGCCTGCTCGAGTATATCCATACCCTCTTCTATCTCGGATTCGGTAATTGTTAGCGGTGGAACAAACCGCAGCGTGTTTGTACCGCAAGTGATGACGAGAAGACCCCTTTCTCGAGCTGCAGTCACGATAGGTGTAGGGTCTGAGTCAAGCTGTAGTCCAAGTATCAAACCTTTACCGCGAACCTCCTTAATTTGGGTTGGAAATCTTTCACGTAGCTTATCAAAATGCTTGCGGAAGGCTTGCTCCTTGGCAGGTATCGATTCAAGGATTTCAGGTGACGAGAGTCGCGAGAGAATATAAGACGCAACCCGAGATCCTAGTGGATTGCCACCAAATGTGGTGCCATGATCGCCAGTTTTGATGTGGTCACAGACAAAGTCGTTGACAATCGTTGCGCCGATCGGGAATCCGTTTCCAAGAGCCTTAGCGGTCGTAAGAATGTCGGGATGGCTTTCCTTTGGATAGCCGCCATGTGCCCAGAAAGTACCTGTCCTGCCGAGACCGCATTGAATCTCATCGTAGATCAAGACAGCGCCAACTTCTGTGCAACGTTTTCGAAGCGCAAGCAAGAATTCAGGCGTAGCAACATTAACACCACCTTCTCCCTGGATTGGCTCAACGATGACACCGCAGGTGCCTTCTGTCACCAGGTCGTTTACAGCGGCGACATCATTGAATGTTCCGTATCTAAACCCTGGCACCATAGGCGAGAACGGGGCTTGATATTTTGGGTTTGGTGTTGCACTCAAACTTCCCATGGTCCTTCCATGAAAGGAATTGTGGAACGACACGATATCGTATTTGTCCTTGTTTGGTGATAGCGATTTTCCAACCTTGCGGGCAAACTTTATGGCAGCCTCGTTGGCTTCGGATCCGCTATTGCATATGAAGGTACGGGTGGCACTCTCGAAGCCACCGGTTGCGTGTGTAAGCTGGATGAGCTGTTTCGACAGGAGTCCGGTATGGGGATTGTGGTAGAGGTTGGATGTGTGCATAAGTTGTTTTGCCTTAAAGGTTGTTAGAGTCTTCCGTGGTTTCAATAACTCGTAATGAACGCACCTGTTCAGCGATCACCTGTGCAACACCTGCATCGCAATGGCCGAGCGCATTCACGGCAATGCCAGCTGTGAAGTCGAGGTACTTGCGGTTCTCAATATCCCACATGTAGCATCCTTCTCCCTTCTCGAACATTGGCGGTGGGCGTACATAGGTCGGAACCATATACGGCAGCTGTTGGTTCACAAGACCGGTGGTTTTTGAGGTTGCGGGGGGATCTGGAGTCGGTAGACCGGCTTCACGCTGCTTTTTATTAGTCAAAAGAGATCAATTGGTAGTCAAACATCACTCACAGCTATCGAATCTTTCACATCTTTGGGGAGACTAGACTCCTTGAGCGCAGCGGATGCTGCAGATGCAAACCGGACGGAAGTGCGATTGAAGCGGGGTGCTCGCAATGCGGCACATACCCGCTGGGAAGAATACCTGAGCGCCATTGTAATGCCACAGTGACTTCAAAAAGCGAGAGAAGGAAGACAGAAATCTTCAGGCTATTTGCGATGACTCTTGTGACGTGACTGTCCAAAACTTCTATCTTATCGATAAGATGCCGAGGTCGGAGAACGATGGTCGGGGTAAGCGAAGTGCACAGACCAATTGACATTTTTGTGGCACATAATAATTTGTTTAATTTTCGAATTTCGTCATCTTCGTCTCGTTGGTGTAGTCGGTTATCACGTGGGTCTCATACACAATATGACTGTTTAGAAAACAGACATCCCAAGGTCGCCAGTTCGAATCTGGCACGGGACAATATACACCTTTTTTGCAATTTTTTGTGGCTCTCATGGTTACCAAGTCGATGGTGGGTCGACTATTTTTGGTCGGTGGGCTTCTAGAGAACGTAGTGGTGCAGCAAGAGAACTAGCGGCAAAAGTTCAAAGCGCACCAAGGCAACATAAATTCTCAAATGGGAGGCTAGAAATATGATATCACGAAATGAAGGGGGCCGAAAAGCAGATTATAGTTCCAAAGGCGTGGATCCTTTGGCCGGCATGTCCGTTAGATCTTCTGAATAATATGCTTGATCATGAGATGAGCAGTTCGCAGCTACCAACCGACCTATGCCAAGTACAATTTGGTCGTGTATGCATTATACTCGAGCGCATCGTTAGTTTCTAACAGTTATTCCTTACTATCCCAGCGACCTTGTCGTGAAGTTTGGCTATCTATTGCACCTTACCCCTAGCATCGACCGGCCAAATCTCTTCAATGACACCCTTCCTGTGAGCATAGTACATATCATGCAAATTAATCGTCGGGTCGATATGGCTCGGAATCATCTCCACTCTATCACCTACCTTCAGTTCCTTCCCACTTCCATTCTCCCAGCTCAAACTCCCGTGTTCGTCGCCCAGAACCCCGTACGTATACCCCTCGGCTTTGCACTCAGCCAACCCGCTGTCAGTCGTCAGGGACTTCAAGCCCGCATCGATGGTCACGGTATTCGGACCTTGCTTGCTCAGCACAGTAGACAGGATAGTCAGACTGTTCGAGTAGTGTCGGCCAATCGCATTGCGATAGTCTGTATCCATGAAGAGAAACGATCCAGGCTGGACTTCAGTGACGCCCGGGACCGTGACGCAGAACTCTGCTGTCCCCGTCCCACCCGTCGTCACAACATCAATTGCATGTCCGTCGTTCCGGAGTGCGGCAGCGGTCGACGTGAGTATGCTCATAGACTCGAGACACAGTTTCCTCCGCCCCTCACGCCCGTGGATATGCTGTAAATGGCCTTCGTAGCCCTGTACACCAATGAGCCTGAGATGCTTCAAGCTCGCGATGTATCGAGCAAGCCTCAACGCTGGCTCGCCGGGCTGAACACCCGTTCTGTGCAGCCCGACATCAAGATCGATAAGCGTCGCGATCTGCTCTTGAACCCCCTCTTTCTCAAGCGCATCGTCAATCGCCCTTGCTCCCTCTTCACTATCGACCACGATCCTAATGCTCTTGTACACCTTGAACAGTTCCACCAGCCTGGCCACCTTCGCGGCACCAATAATCTCACACGTAATAAGGACATCAGTAAAGCCTTTGGAACACATGACTTCGGCTTCGGAGAGCTTCGCGACGCATCCTCCTGTTGCTCCTGCCGCGACGAGCTTCTTGGCGAGAATAGCCGACTTGGTGGTTTTGAGATGAGGTCGGATTTTGATGCCGGTGGGGAGAAGGAGGTGCATGAGTTTGGTGAGGTTGGCTTCCATGAGATCTAAGTCGACGATCATGGAAGGCGTGTCGAGCGAGTCGAGGGAGTCGCCGACTTTGGGAGAGTAGGACATGGTGGAAAGTGGTTTGGGGGGAATTGGGGAGTGTTGGGCCAGAATCGATAATTTGAAGCTGATAAAGGGGACTCTGCACCTTAACGTATTTCTCAAGGGCCTTAAGGAAGATACAATCAGCATCTCTCTGAGTCAGAGCCTGTTTTGTTGCGCTGCTGATGAGAGTTGGGGTTGACGGTTGACGATCCTGCGCCCAAAGAGGTAAGCCGAAGTTGGTAACCTTCCTCGTGCAGAAGTGGGCGCGCTCGATGTAACAAGACAAAGTCACACTGCTTGATGCTATTTAATGCAGGATAGGAATCCAGATATTTAAGAGAAATGACACTCTGAGCTTAGGAATATAGCATAGGAAGATGTGTTGAGATCTTTGGAGTCTATCGTGGCCATGAGAAGGCGGTTTACCCAACCATTCCGTCAAATAGGCAGGAAAATTGTCGTGAAGAAATATAGACCTTAAGTTTCAGTCCAGCGATTTCACGTATTTAAGGTAAGAATGACAGAGACACGCTCCCTCGGCATGACTTTCCCACATTGAAAATCCACGAGATTCACCCATGCAACCTTTTCGAAAGAGTGGACTTGAGCCAATTCTAGTGTTTCAACCAATTTCTATTGACTAGAAATTTCTATCAATAGCCACCTTTCCTCACCTGGAAAGAAAAGATAGAAACCCATCATCGCACAGATTCCTCCCTCTAACAATTCGAACGCGAAAATCACGCTGTGCAACCATTATACCCACTCTGCTGCCACATCTTCACGCTCTTGACCGCCATCCACCCGCCCTCCTCCCACGTAGGAAACCACTCCCCTCTCTTATCCCAAAAGTCCTTCTTCGCCAATGAATTGCCATCGATCCACGGCTTCCCAGACTTGCCGTCTCTAAACCAGTCGTTTGTTCCCCCCACACCCACCGTGAGCACGAGGTGGAAGTCCTGGTCGAAAGGCGAGTTTTTGGCGCCGGTGGACTCCCACGGGTTGATGAGGCGCGTGCCGTTTCGGTCTGCGGGTGGGAATTGGCCGTATTCGTAGAAGGGGGTGTCGAATTGCGTGAACATGACTTGCTGCAGGCGGGAATTGATGTACGTGTATATGTATTTCTCGCTCCACTGTTTGTCTTGGTTAGTCTGTGGATTGAAAGGGGTGTATTTGAGAAGAAAGGTTGAGACAAACCTCTACACCAAAAGTGTTGTAGCCTTTTGCATACGTTGTGTGGAAGGCCTGGCGCTTTACATTGTTGCGCCACCAGCCGTCATAGCCTGAATTTGGACCAAAGTGTAGAGCGCTCGAGGCGATATTGTTGCCGCCCTGTGCGTATGATTGATTGTTGCCTCGCGACTCCATGATGTCGATTTGGCCGGAACGCGGCCAGTCACCATACACGCTGGAGGTGGGCAACATCCGAATTGCGGGCCACAACCAATCTCCTGCGGGAAGTTTTGCAACGACTTCGACGCGACCGAACTTGATCGAAGCTCCGAGCTTGGTGTTGATACGGCCTGATTTGACTGGGTTGATAATTGTTCCATTGGTTGTGTTTGTGGTTGCGACACAGTCTGTCCAATATGAGCCTGTGCAACTCGCGCCCCTGAGATCGATGGTATTGTTGGTTGTAATCAAATGCTCATCCTGTAAAGTGGGCTTGATAACAAGCGTTCCGTCCTCGATATAGACGTTCTCATCAGTATTCGTTGTCATCTGGAACTGACCGAAGCTGAAATCTTAGTCAGAGAGTGTTCATAGTGAGTACCTTGTTAAACTCACCCAAATCCACCAAGATCAACCTCCTTCATCCAGACACTGGAGTTCCAAGACGTGAAGTTGTCACTGAAAACCTCACAGTAATTATGCATAGCAACACTACGTATTCCGTGCCAGACCATCAAAGCAGATATGCCGAAACCAAGGACGAAGCCAGCAACGGGGATGATGGTCTGCCACACCTCTCGAGGATCCCGCCGCTCCATCCATGGTCGCTCAAACTGGTCTTTCTGGATGCGAGTTGATCGGAAGTAGTTTCCAGCGGCGCTGGTGCGAAAAGCAGGATGGACTTTACTTGGGCGAGCTTTAATAGTTGTTCTGAGTATGTCCTTCTCTGAGTACGCGAAATCGACGACTTTCGTGGGCGCATTTTGGGTGGATATTCGATTATCGGGTGAGCTGTTGTGGTTCGTGCTGCTTGGATCGTTTGGAGTAGGTGCCGCGCGTTTTCGCTCTCGAGCAACGGACACATGTGAGGGTTCTATCGGGTATGGTGTAGGCATTTCGAATATGTTAGTGTGAGTATAGACAAACAAAGATATATCCTGTGACAACAATTTCCTACGTCGTACCAAAGTTAGGAAGCTAAACTTGTGGCAGTTGAATTGTATCTCATTAGGCAAGAACCACCTTACTTTAAGTAGAACTCGACGTAGGAAGGGGGTATCTGCAACCGACTTCATCCCAATTGCTGGGGCATGAGGCACCCAAAGTCCCAGTTGGCGGGTCATGTTGGTGAGAAAGGTGAGGATGGAAATTCATAGTTCAGGACTTTTGGTCGAATTGCACCCAGTAAGCAAGTGCACACTTAGGACTGACCAAGTGTCAATGCCTAGCCTGGATAAGATCGAGATCCAGATATATCAAACCTGAACGAAATCTTCTACACCGTCTTTCCCAATCTAACCATCTATACACCTCCTTCCCCTCTACACTCTCCCCCTTCCCTCCTCCCCCAAACTCCCCACAGCCTACCCCCTAACAGCCAAACTCAAATAAATCCCCCACAGCACTCCAACCGAGCACCCAAACACAACCCTCTTATCCACCGGCACCCACACAAAGCTAATCAAGCTAATCGCCGGCCAAAACTTATACCCGTCCTTCATCATCGGCCACGTCCGCTCCGCACACTCCTTCAGCACCAGGGCGCCGACATCTGTCCCCGGGACGCGGGGCGCGTTGACGAAGGAGATGTAGGCGAGGAACATGAGGGTGTTTACGAGGGCGCCGACGGTCTGGTCAAGCGCGAATTTGATGAGGATGTTGGTCTTGCTGGTGCGCGTCTCTGTGTGCGCTGGCGGGGCGGATTTGGATTTTGGTTTTTCGGTGGGAGGCGCGGACGCGGGGAGGGAGGTGGGGAATGCGTCTTCGAGGAAGGATTGCCAGAGGATGTTGGGCGGGTTGGATAGGATGCTGAAGAGGGCGAAGCGGAAGACTTGTGTGAAGTCGAGGGAGAAGGGCGTCTGTTTGCGATTAGAGAAGATTGATTTGGGGGAGCGTGAGCGCATATAGGGAAGAAGAGAGGTGCGCACCTTGTCTTGATACGAGGTTATGGCTTGCGCGAGCACATTGGAAGTTATGCTGAGCACGGCGCCTTGCAGCGTCTGCGATATCATTGCGGAGGACATTGTGGTTGCGTCTGTGTTGTTCGTGATCGCATGCGCGGGTAAGTACAAGTAGTATGTACAAAAGTGTCGAGAAATTCTCTGG